ATAGAGGTACCTCCTATATAGGGTTTAGGGGTTTAGGGTTTAGGGTTTAGGTAACCACAGTATGGAGATAACTGATCTACCTGTAGTCTCCATTGTAGTTCCTTTTTTTGGTTTAACCAAGTATATAATAAGGATTTTATAAGGTATCCCCAAAAAGGAACTACAATGGAGACTATAGGTAGAGCCAGGGTTTAGGTAACCCTTGAAAAGCTAGAGAGATCGATGAAACCGTACTGCTAGAGGCACTTCAGAGAGACCTCGTTCAAAAAAGGGTTTAGGTAACACTGTTCACACTCTGCTATGGATTCATTGCTTGTCCCACTGAGGGAGGCTTTAGAAGGCCTTACTTCAACGTTCTTTAGCCAGAGTTGTCACAGTCATGAGTCGCTGGACGTTCCAAGGCACGAGGCATTCCGGGCTCACCCACGTAGTCCTTCAATCTGTAACCCAAACCCCCCAGGTACCTACATATAGGGTACTAGAGGTTGTAGGGCCCTATATAGTAGGTACCTGGGAGATCCTGGGAGGTTAGGGTAATTTCACTTCCGCCAGGATTGGCGTGGAGCGCGATCCGGGGCTCGCGATGAAGGTGCGACTTTCAGGTTCGTGAGGCTTGGATTGGGTTTGCAGGGCTTAAGATCACACTTGTTGTTGTGGTCTTCAGCCGGCATGTTGAATGGAACTTCATAATGTGAATTTCAAGGGTACAGGTCGGGAGTTAGAACTACGGAAGTATTAGGGTTATCAGGGCTCACGGTGTGAAGGCCGCTCATGGAAGCGTCAGCCTCAAGCCCCAATAAGCCACTATACCCATAGCTGCCCTGACCCCGAACTTTACGCTGCGACCCCATCACAACCCCTGACTTAAACAGGAACTCCTCGCGTAAACGAGGGCTCTAGAGTATTATCCCCAAACACTCAAGTCTGGAAGCCTCTAGCCGCTAGCCCCATCTACCCCTCTTGTCCTAGCTAGCTGGGAGGCAAAAAAAGGCCCTATCAGCCTACTTGGAGGTTCATGGGTAGTTATAAATAGGGCTATAAGTATAAGTAGGGTAGCTGTACTTATAACCCATATTAGGGGACCGCAATTCAAGCTGTCGACCCCAGCACCTGAACCGCGAAGCCGGGCTTGCCCACGGGTGAGTGCCGAAGCCACGAAAAGCTGAGATAAAGTTGCGAGACGTGTGTCGCCCCTGCACATAGAACTGCTGAGCAGCACACCACTTCAGAGCGTACTGTTCCACCTAGGCATGTAAGTAAACCGCCTCATAGGATTAACGTCCCTGGAGCCGGAAACCGAGACGTCACGCAGGGCTGGACGAGTGAAGAACTCCGCTCACAGCTGGCTCCGGGGGTGGCAGAGAGGCCGATGCGTTGCGGGGATGCAATGGGTGCCCAGCTTGTTGCTGAGTCATTTGTTTTGTTTTTGTTTTGCAAGCTTTGTCTTGCGAACTCTTTGAAACTCTGACCGGAATCCCGAAACTCCAAGCTCCAGAAGTCAGCACGTTCGACAGAACCAGTACAGATCCAGAACCCCAGAAGCCTGTAGCTCCAGGCTTGAAGAGCTCGCCCAGCGGGCAGATGAAGTCAGTGTGGACCGGTACGAGGCGCTTCGGGATTTGGGTCTGTAGAGCTTCTAGAAACCAGACACTTGCATGGCCAGGGATAAGATTGATTCCAATTGTGCTTCACTGTTTCGTATGGCGGTTAATTAGCGCCAATACTTGGAAATCCTTTATCGGCTGATTTGACAAGTTGGTGTACACTCGTGACTTGCGGCTCTTTGTGCGGATGATAGGTTGTTTTGTGCCCAAGGCCAGAATGACACACAACCTCATCGATTCATGAACTACAGATTCTACGCGTGCATCCGCAGACTTTGCCAAACATGTTCAAGTAGTCTTGGCGACCACCCAAAGTACCACAGCGGTCGTTGGAACCAGCCACACGTTCACAATGACTCGGCCGCGAGTTTATCTCCACGAGTGCCTTAGTGTTTGAAGTGAGTCTTCAGTGTTGCCTGAGGAGCTGGCCCTGGAAGCAGAGGACCTTAGCAGCCCAAAGCCGAGGTTGCAGGCTTACTGTACGTGGAAGTTTCTGTCACCAAGTATGTAACGTCTTCACGATGGTTTCACGGTTACGGTTACCATTCAGCGAGAACTTGTTCATTGCCTTCTTCGTGAGTGCCCAGAGGTATGGATTTATAGATGTGATGTCTTCGAGCTCTTTGCGATTGGTTTCTGAGCGCTCCTGGCCCCGGTCCGGCTTGAAGGACCTGATTGTCCGGCAGCTCGAAGACCTTTATGTGGATGGCCTCAGCCTTGGAGCTGGAGTCTCCAGAAAATTTGGGAGCTTCCGAAAATAAGGGATACCTTATTTTGGGGTCCTTATAGTAAGGATCCCATTATTTAGGGTACTTTTTGAGGGTCCCCTATTTTTGGAAACCCCCATTTGAAGCTTGCGACTTTGATTTCTCATCATCAAGAGCAAGGTCATTTGCGAGGTCGTGCTCCTAACGGGAGTAGAGGTACATGTTCCTTGTTTCAGTTCCTGAGTTCAGGTACCAAGGTTTGCTTCATGCTGCCTCGGTAGACGAGATCATGCCACAGGTACATCGGAACATGTCGCTGGTCGGAAGAAGTTCCCCTGTAGTTACTGTAGTTGGATGCACGCTTCTGAGGCGGATGGGAACCTGGCAATACGCCACAAGAGCCGAAGCCTTAGAACCAGCCGAATTACAAGCAATGGATACATAGTGACGCAGTGCCAAAGCATGTAAGCTATCGACACAATGACAAAATGGCTTTGCAGCCGTGAACCCCGAGTTCTGGAAACCATTGCAGAGCGAGGGTGCAACGCCAGCAGAAGGATCAAGGTTGCACTCTACGTTGAGTTTGCTTGTTCCTAGTTTGCTGAATCTGCCGGACCCTTTTTCAATGATGTTCTGCGGGTTGTGGATTGCAAGGCTGTTCTCCAAGCTTGACGAAGAGGACCGACGTGTTGCTCGGAGATGCTTAGAGCACTCCTGGACATGCCTAGCGTATGTAGTGGTACTGGAAATATAGACTCTCGGAACCAGTTCTGGCCAGTTGCACAACCAAGCAGTGCTGTGCTGCAGTCGGCTGCCGCAGGTCTTACCCTGCGGAGACACAGACGGGATATCTGCCCCTCAATCATGCAACAAGATGTCATGAACTACATGTTGTTTCGCTCCATGCGTCACGCTACGCACCGCGCAGCAAAGGACTACTGTAACCATCTCCATCGTTGAAAAAAATCTCTCTCTATCTATCTATCTATCTATCTATCTATCGATCTATCTATCTATCTATCTATCTATCTATCTATCTATCTATATGTATGTGTGTGTGTGTGTGTTCCAATACAAACAAACATCCATCTATCAGTACATTGCCCTCAGCATACTTAATCGTCAGCGTGGAATCTCTTGACCAACAGCTGCTCCAATCTGCACAGGACCCCTTTGCTCTCAATGCAGCCGCTAATGCGAGTTCTGCATCCGCTGCTGTGCCGCTGACCCAGAGGCACAGTCTAAGCACAAGGCTCGTTTGTGCGAGGGCTGGAGGGAAAGTATGGGCAACAGCTGCAGCGGCAGCAGCGACAGCAACACCAGCACCAACACTCACAGCCGCAGCAGTAACAAAGCGAGAGTGACAGTGACATCAACTGCAACAGCAGCAAGAACAGCATATACAAGAGCAAACAATAACAGCAGCAGAGGCAGCAGCAGCAACAACAACAACAACAGCAACAGCAACTGGCACCAGAACCAGCACAAAGCAGCACCAGACCACCAGCACCACCAGCGGCAACAGTAGCAACAGCAACAGCAGCAGCACCTGCACCACCAGCAGCAAAAGCAGCAATATCAACAACATCAGCAGCAGCAGCAACAGCAAGCATCAAGTAGCAACCAGCCAGCAGCCAGCAGGCAGCACGCAGGCAGCGGCGAGCAGGGAGACTGCTTCTACTACTACTGCTGCTACTACTACTACTACTACTGCTACTGCTACTACTACTACTACTACTACTACTACTACTATCTACTACAAAAGAAAAAAGTAGCTGCTACCTCCTCCACATATACGCTTCTA